CATATTTTAGTTGATAATGAAATATTAAATGATTATTTATTCTGACCACATCATATTGAATTTTTGTAAAATAAATTTATTACTTAATTAAATTTAAAAAATGTACACCAAAATAATTTAGGGGGGCTTTAAATTTTTTTAATGGGGCTCCAGCCCACCTAAAATAGGCCTAGTGACGCCACTGGCTCTGGCTCATCCTGGACCCTGGTGGGTCCATCAGAACCTCTGATCTGTGACGTCACAGAAAGCTCCGCCCCTAACATCACCTGCCTCTACACGTGTTTCTGTGTCTGTTAGCAAAATATCTCATGACCCAATGTTACATCAACACAATCTTTCTGTGACGAACACCTCCCAGGTTCTGACGGGTCCATGGCAGGTCTGGATCACCGAGCGGGACGGAGGCTGCTGCAGGAAACCAACAGCAGCCTGGAGGAAGAGGAGGAGGAGTCTAAGAACTGCACGACTCCAGGTCAGAACCAGAACTTTCACTCTTTGTTTTGTAGTCTTTAGGTTCTGGTCTTCCTCTTGTCTTTRTGAGGGTCTGACTTCCTGTTGGGCTTCAGTAGAACTGGACCAGAACCTTCGTCCTTTCTTTCAGTTTCTCCGTCTCCTTCCTCTCCGCACCAAGGTTGATGGTGCCGTCTATAAACAGAACCGGGGTCAAAGGTCGACCCGTTCTCCTCTCCTGATGATGAGATGCTGCTCGCTGCTRAATTTAAAGCGGTGTGACCCGGTGGTTCTGACGCTCGCCGCCCTCTGGAGGACGGTGAGGTCGTTCCTGAAGAACTCTGCAGCTGGAAGCAGGTCGCTTCTTTTCAAACTGTTCAAGTCCTGCTGGCAGTCGTCCCATCAGAGGAAGCTGCTCATCATCTCTCCTGGAGGCTTCATCAGGAGCTTAACGCCTCACAGATGCATTGTGGGAAATAAGTGTCAGACGTCAGAGCAGACGATGGAACGCTCTGTTGTTTACCAACAGAAACTTAGACAAAAACTAGTCATGAAMACACAAGAGTCAAGTCCAGGACCTGAGTGGACTTTCAGAGACGTTAGATTTAAATTATTTTAGAGTCCAATAAAAACAAACAAACCCAAAACCTGAAAGAAGGCGGAGCTTATTTCTCCATGACCGACAACTCACTTCTCCCGCAGGGAGTGGAGGAGGCAGAGCTTATTGATGTGTGTGTGTGTGTGTGGGGGCTTCACAGAGGAATCCTTCAGGACAGAAAGTCCTCCAACGTGGATGGACAGGAAGTCCTCCAACGTGGATGGACAGGAAGTCCNTCCAACGTGGATGGACAGGAAGTCCTCCAACGTGGATGGACAGGAAGTCCTTCAACGTGGATGGACAGGAAGTCCTTCTCCAACATTTTCACAGATGATTGGTTCTGAGCTGAACTTTTATCTGAAGGTTGCTGAGTCAGAGTTGAACTCACCTGTCCACCAGGAGAACTTTGTTAAAATGGACCGAACCTGCTGAAAGGCCCTGGTCTGGTCCAAACTCAGGTTCTGTTGCTCCGGCTGATCTTCTTCTTCATGTGATGCTGGATGTGGTTACCATGGGAACTCCTGGAGGTGGAGGTTTTCTCCAGGATTTACTGATCCAGTGCAGAACAGGACCACAGCTGTCCTCGTGCACTCCCAGTGTGCACGGGACGTGCACACTGGGAGTGCACGTGACAGGTGCTGCTTCAATCTTCTATTTTCTCTCTGAACTGCTCATTATTGCAGCACTTCCTGTTTGCTGTTACCATGGTGACAGGAGTCGAGGCTGCTGTGTGACAGTTCAGTGTTTACATGGGATCCTCTGATCCTTCAGACCCTGATCCTTCTGATCCTGGTCCTTCTGATCCTGATCCATCAGACCCTGATCCATCAGATCCTGGTCCTTCTGATCCTGATCCATCAGATCCTGATCCATCAGGTCCTGATCCATCAGGTCCTGATCCATCAGGTCCTGGTCCTTCTGATCCTGATCCATCAGATCCTGATCCGTCAGATCCTGATCCATCAGGTCCTGGTCCATCAGGTCCTGATCCATCAGGTCCTGATCCTTCAGACCCTGGACCTGAATGAGTGGGATCAAACTATTAAAATGTTCTAATTCAGACCTGGTTTGTGTTTCTTGCAGCTCTTCATGAATTTCCTTCAGATCTTTTCACCAATGAGGAGAGAACAGAGGGCGCCGTGGCGCTTCATGTCCTGTGTGTGAGTCTGATTCAGCACCGAATTCTGTTTGTAACTTTTTATTTTCTTATTTATTAGATAAAAACTCAAATTTTAAGTTTCTGACTCCCTGTTCTGAATAGGTCTGCAACTAATGAATATTTTGATAATCGATTAATCTGTCGATTATTTTTCGATTAATCGATTAATCGGCCAAATCATCAAAACACTTTATTACATAAATATAAGTAGATATAAATGAATTTATTTCCTGTATAATTTAGGGATGTAAGTTATTGATTAATGTGAAGTTGTCTGTAGTTGATTTATCTTATAAATTGACTAATGATTAATTGAAA